TAAACCGCTGTAACTCGAAAACGGATCATCGTAGCAAGATAGGGTTTAAATATTTATTCTTAGATTTTTTTGCACTAAAAGTATCATTTTTGGGTCCACCCCCTTTAAGTTTGTTCTGTGTCATATCATAAACAATTCCTTGGAGTTTGGGATTTTTCCTGGAAATTTAGAAGTGGCCCTGATTAATCCATGCTATAAAAAAGGGGCCCAAAAATTCTGGACAATTATAGGCCTGTAAGTAAAGTCCGTCGATTTTAATCTTATACTCGAAAGGAATGTGAGCTGGTAGCACTCTACAATAGAACGCCATTGGTCACCTGACAATGTCACACCTGTTTTTGCCATATAGTTCACCTCCTTATACGGAAAGTGTCAGATTAAAAACGATGGACAATACAGTTGTAAGCATAAAAAGTGGGACACCCGTTTTTTCCTATTGTAAAACGAGCTCATCGGCCTCGTCTCGTCATCAGCTATACCTACGACAATGACAGGGACTGTCATATTTGAAAAAAAATCTATTGTAGAGAAAAGACTGATTTACCCAAAATAGCGAAAAATGACAAGACCTGTCAGTCGGGTGTCCCACTTTTTATGCTCACGGCTGTATATTACCGGATTTTCAATTTTTTTTTAAAGCAGCCATGGGTACTAGACTCATTGACTTTTTTGGTGATTGTTATTTATTTAGTCACTGTTAACATGGTTCTCCAAAGGGTAAATCCATACAAACAGCGCTTTTTGCTTTTATTAGAGAGATTCTCTCTCAACCACCTCGAAGACAGTGAAATAGCACTTGGAATACTATTGGATTTATGTAACACCGAGTCTAAGGCCTATGGATGTTTGGACAGAGGTTTACTTATGCAAAAAAATGAGAAATATGGTGTGTAATGTAAAGAAATGGTTTGTCTCATATACTAACAACAGGAGACAAGGTGTAACAGTAACAAAAAATGGGAACACAGAGGTATCTCAAAAAGTGTATATAATGATGTAGGAATTGCACAAGGGAGTATATTAGGCCCAATCTTGTTCATAATTCAAATCAGTCAGGAGTGGAATGTCTGATATATTGACAGTGACCATATCGTCCGCAAATATCAAGTCCAAAAAACCACCTCTACTATTAGCAATTGAGTTAGTTTGAAATAAATTACGATATGCAGAAAAATTAGCGATGCACTCAACTTTGTCACTTATGTCGCCAATCGGTCTTGATCCATATTCATCATTCTCCCATAGAATGTCGGGAAGATTATAGTCTCCACACAAGCAGACTCTGGAAAAGGAGTTTGAATCCATGATATGGTCTAATGATCTCAGAGGTTTACTTATGCAAAAAAATGAGAAATATGGTGTGTAATGTAAAGAAATGGTTTGTCTCATATACTAACAACAGGAGACAAGGTGTAACAGTAACAAAAAATGGGAAGACAGAGGTATCTCAAAAAGTGTATATAATGATGTAGGAATTGCACAAGGGAGTATATTAGGCCCAATCCTGTTCATAATTCAAATCAGTTAGCTAAGAAGCTGGATTCTATTTGTTATGGTATTAGGATAGTTAGTACCTAAAGTGTGTTTTTTTTTTAAAGATAAAATTCAAAATGACATTATGTTGGCAATACAATGTAAAATTGTCAATGCTTTCAAATTTTTTATGTAGAAAAGGCTTGTGTTGCCAACATAGTTACTAAATTTTTGACTTGGGGAATTATCTTTAAAAAAAAAAAACAGATTTTACTTAAATATATGAAATAGGGGTCATTGAAAATATTAAAACTCTGCCAACTTTGAATCTGTTCTAAAATATGGAATTATCTTCTGGGTAAGGGACAGCAGGTTGCAAAATATCTTTGTTGTCCAGAAAAGACCGATAAGAATAATAAAAAAAATTGACTACCTTCAGAGCTGTGGATCAGCATTTGAATGTATAGGTGTTATGACAGTATATGTACATTTTATTTTTTATTTTATGGATCACGACCGTTAATAATTGATATTGTTCGAATAACTGGGAAACAGTCAGTATCATAGATGAATGAAATAGTATATGTACATTTATGAATGCTTAATGTTCTATTTTCACAATAAACACCTTTTTGATAGTAAAACAGAAACAAATATAACACGAGAAAATTGGATTTTAAGTACAAGCCACATAGACTAACTTTAACAGAAAAATCACCCCCTTAAATGTGTGCCAAATTATTCAATATGCTTCCTAACCAAATACAAAGTCTAAATTGAGGTGAAAAATTTAAAAAGGATATTAAGATATTGTTAGTAAACTTAGAACCATATTGTTTGAGATTTTTGCCCAGATCTATAATAATTTTGTAACTTTGTAATTTTTTGACTCTTGTTTCATTCCTCTATTGTAATAATGTATTATGATCTTGAATTAAGAAATTTATTATTATTATAAATATTATTATTTATCATTCCTCACAACAAATATCAAAGTTCTTATTTCATTCTTCTCATAAAACTAGCAATAATTAGTACAAGATATAGTTATTTTCCTAACAAGTGCGCAAAGTGTTACTTTTCCGCACGCAAACACAGTTATACGAACGACGCGAAGCGGAGTTTGGATACGTGTTTGCGTGCGGAAAAGACACTTTGCGCACGTGTTAGGAACAAAATTTTTCCTACGAGCTTCATATCAGGTAGGTAACAACAAAAATTTAAAAAAAAAACGATAATTTGTTTAATTATTTTTAATTAACTTGAAGGGAACCTATGCATTTATCAAAAAATTACATAACAAAAAAAAAATATAACAGAAAATCATCGTCAGAGCTCTTCATCTTAAAGCGTTTAATGGCGATTTCCATTTGTCATCAGTGCCGCACTGAGTGCATCCGCATCTTTTTCTAAAAGCATGTAACATGTAAGGATAAGGATACATTTTTTTGCCCTGTTTCGACAAATGGAAAATGCTATAAATTTGATGAGATAGTTTGTAGATGCATATATATAGAAAACAAATCTGACAATGTGTTGAAGTTAATTAAATTTGGTGTTTGTAGGTATAGATGTTAGCTGGAACAGGAACAGAGGAAAAATTTGTCATCATGTGTCAAAGTCGACAGGTGTACTTATTGTTGCTTGACAATTATTTTTACTTTTCGGCACTCAGTGCGGATAAGGCCTGTATCCGCACTGAGTGCGGAAAAGTGCAACTTTGAGAACCGAAATGCGTGCGGAAAAGTACTACTTTGCGCACGCTCGTAGGAAAAAATAATATTGCTGATACATGATGTGTTGGACTCAACTAAAACATTTATTGTTTGCCCAGCGGATCTGAGTCTACGGAAGGAATTCGGACGTAAATGTGCCATGTTGCCACGTCTAATTATAAAAAAGCGAAAATACTAGGCATGAAGTATAGTTAATTTGAAAATCCATTTTCTATTAACAAAATATTGATAACAATGATAAAACGTTAAAAATTTTAACGTGGTTGTTAGATCTATCCTTATTTTAATCTTGATTTCTTCAATTAGGTCTATTGTAAAAAATAAACATTTTCTAAAGATACCATCAGCTTTTGACAATTTGGCAAGCATCCGTCCTGAATGAACCTGATTGGTGGAGTTTTTGGCAGGATCGCCGTTGTCATGGAGAACCATACGGTTGTCAATGAGCAAACGTCACCTTACGTCTCGCTATTGGCCAGGGCTCACGTCATTTTATCCTCCCATCTTGGAATATCAATTTATATTGAAATACCCAGTGGCGGAGATTTGGTCATTGCTGATTTTCGTGTACAAGTTGCAATACGATAAAACTTCCAAAAAGCTCCGCACGCAGCTGGGTATTTTATGAATTAAATCAGCCATTTTTTTTTACAACTGCATTCCCCTTACCGTTGCCCCGTAGACACAGAGTCGCTGGGCAGACATTAGTAGTATTATCATGCTTAGATTATTTTTGTTGTAACTTCCGTGATTCAAGCAATAAGCCAATTAACTTATCTTTAATTTTATCTGATCTTTCAGATCATGGTGCAATGTTGGCAAGCATTTGCATGTAGCGTGATATTAAGGAACAATCTTGGATTGGCGGATGGTAGAATTTACAGTGCCAAAAACATTTAGAAATATTTGTGATTGTAGACCAATACAAGTCTTGCTCTAGGTAGAGAGGGTTGTTTATTGAATATAATTTAAATTGTTTATGATTGTGTTTCATTTGTAGGTCACATTTATGTGTCGATAGAATCTGTATTTGTTTTTTTTTGTATGTTTATAATAATACTTCTATCACATTTAACACATAATATATAATTTAAAAATAAATTATTCACAAATTTTAATCTATTTGTTCGCTGCAAACAAATAGCCTCCAACAACGGCTGCGATTGTGAAACCCTGAGCGACAACTCTAGTCCTCATCATGTACTGGGACATTCTTTTTTCGCCTTTTTTGAAACACCACACGCCAATGAATAAAGCAGCACACGTAGCTGTAGCACCAATGGGAACAAACGGGTTTTCGTTAGATTTTCTCATTAATTTTTCAAAGGTAGATTCGAGAGGTAATATTTTATCCATTTCCTTGTGAAGATCGAGCCAATCAAATTTGGCTAAATCCTCCTCTGTAAGTTCCAGAGAAGGTTTTCCTTGAGGTTTTTCCATAGAAATATTCTATATAGTTCTTGGTATAATTAGTAAAATTTGAGATTATGATTAGTTAAACAGAATTAGCAGTGAAGTTATTCATAAATTCCAATGAACATCAAAATGGAAGTGTCATTATCAGAAACATAACAATAAACATTATTTTTCTGGTTGTCTGTTGAAAATCTAAATTTCCTCTAGGACTATGAACTCATAAACTGCATTTTATAAACATACAAATATTTTGGTTAACTTTCTCACAGCTTGAAAATAGTGTTCACCTTGAAAACTATTAATACCCAAGTAAAAGTTCACTTTCACCTATTTTCTATTTATTTATGGTAAATAACAATCAACCTTTTGACTTACCTAATTTTAAACAAGAAGTAAACAGATCGTCTTTTTTATTTTTAGTACCTGAAAATAAATAGTTACACAAGACAAAATAATCAATTTAGGGGTATAATTTACCAGTTCCTATATTACGCCTTTTACCGTGGGGCTCACGTATTTTAGATCTCAACATCCAACTAGAGACTGCCATGGCGGTGTTTAGGAAGATTTTTCAAGTTAATTATTTTTTACACCCCTGGTTTCGAGTTCAATGGCACCATCAATAACACCAACAACACTACTACTTGTTTACCAGGAGCCTTGAACTGGCTTTTAAAGTTCGGGAATCCAAATTTGGTAATTAAAATGGGTTAAAATCCGTTTATATGTTTACAAATTAATTTATTTGCAAGTTTCTTTGGTTTTCGTGGGTATTTTTAAATTAAACCTGAAATGCGTACAATGTGTAAACGCAAACAAGCTGAAATCGTCCATTTTTTTTGAAGGTTATGCTGATGCATACATCTGTCACTGTCATCTGTCTCTGGTGTTGTCGTCACTAAAAGCGTTTTCCATTTTACGCACTCGGTGCAGATTTTATATTTAACTAGGCTAACTAGCTAATGACCTGCTGCGTTGCCAGCATGTAAATACATTTTGAAATAATACACTTCTTTTCAAATTTTGTTGTTGATTTTCTATTTAATTTTTTTTTAAATCCAATATCATGTCGCTTGCCAGCAGAGCTGGGCAAGCTACTTGAAAAAAGTAGCTTGCTACAAGTTACAAGCTACTATATATTGTAAGTAATTAAGTTACTTTAGTAACTTAACTACCTGTTTGAAAAAGTAGCTAATAAGCTATTGGTAACTTAACTACATTTTAAATTAGTTGAAAGCTACATTTTAAGCTACATTTTCAAAAGTTAAATTAATGAAAACAAAAATCAATGAAATTATAGAAGGTTTTTATATTCTGTCCAAACCAAAGTCTGAAAACTGAAAAGACGGGTGTTATAATAATAAACAACTGTGGTGGCGTGGCGTGGCGCTGATTCCAGTCACTCCAAACATGAAAATGCCAAAAGGCAAAAGTTGCAACGTCGCATATAAATTGTTTTGAGGCTTCCACCAAGCTCTTATTTCTCTTTCGTGCGCACCGTGCCGAAAAAATGCGGTGAAATTCAAATCGGCAATCCTCGTTCGTCGTCGGAACACACTGAACACAGTGCCGTAGCGTAGAGAACAGTGTCATAGTTGAATATTCTCATTTATTTGGTAGATTTTAACTGGAGGCAGTTTTGACAGGCGCCCGACGAAAACAACGAATTTGTTTAAGCTCATCTACGTTGTTTTTAGATATATTATATTGTTGTTCAAAATTACTGTCTATATGAGAGAGTAGGTATATCCTGTTCACAATTATTTTCTCAGAAAAATCTTATCCTGTGTCTAGTTTATAGACTAGTTTCAACTTGTGTCCAGTGGCGTAGCTAGGCGTCGGCGATGTCGGCGACTGCCGACGGCCTCGCGCCTTAAGGAGCCTCGCAAAAAATAGGTTACTGAACCTGAAAATTGGCACTTTTCGATTCTCCAAAATAAAACGTAGAGAACAAATAAACATCCTATATGAAACTTCTTAATATCATAGAATTCACTAGAAATCATTAATTTTTCTGCAAATTAACCTAGAACTTTCAAATCGTATGGTACATACTTTCCCTAACTGGCAACGGCAACCAATCGAGACATAAAAATAGGGTGACCATACGTACAGTACCTATTTCGCTGTATTGTACATTCTACAGCATTTTGAAAGTCCGTCGATTTTGTACAGCAAACATGCTAACATACGAGATTCGGAAATTATTTAAGTTTCCTAGAAAATTGCCTGATTCCGGGGGAGGGGGATAGAGCTTCTCAACCAGTGGAGGCTCTTATTGGTCTATACCTGAAGGGGTTCATACCACTGATCTCGTTCATACCCAAAGTAGGACCTAGTAGGTGATGCCCACCGCAGTTGCTGCAGAATTTTTTTTCGGGTGCCACGCCAAAAAGTACCTACTTTAAGCTTCCAAAAAAATAATTTGTGTGTTTTTTCAATAACTAAAATTTTCTTAAGCCACTGCCACCCTACATAAAAAGGGCCTCGCAATTCGGATTTCGCCGACGTCCACATTTGGTTTGGCTACGCCACTGCTTGTGTCCCGTTTCATTCTCGCATTCGCACATCGCTGGAGTTAGTGGTTCTGTTCCCCGCAGTTTCACCCGCCGTTAAATTCAGAAGAAATCCGAATTTAGAGTAATATCCTGTTCACAATCCGATGTCCACAGGTGCAGGTACCATGGGCGCCGGCAGAAGGGTGCAAGGGGGTGCACTTGCACCCCCCTGTCAGATATACACTGAAAAAATTATTTTTATTTTATTAATATTTTTTTTTAAGTTACTGTTTGAAAAAATTGGCGAAACGTGAAACGATGGCCCCCCTCGCACTCTTTATTCCCAGCGACATTCCTCGGGTCACTTCTGGCTCGGATCGGGTTTTTTTTATTTCGCACGCCATCAACCTGTAGAATGGCGGGAATTTCGAATTTACTTTAAATTCTAGTTTATTGATATAAATTTCTTTAACTTCTACGATTTGATAGCACGAAAAAAGTATTAAGTTGCGAGAAGCCCGTGCCCCAGGAGCGCACATAACATATCATCGGGCAGTTCGGTGCGCCGCCCAGGGGCCCACGGTCCGAAAGGGCCCCACAATGCTGCGAAAAATTTCGAATATGTCGAAAAAAATGTCATACATGCAAATCAAATATAATAACATTTTAATAAAGATACATTCAATAAGGACTCAATTCCTATTTTCTGAAATATCATCGACCATACCGCCCATGCCTAATAATATTCGTTTCTGTGGTTGAGAGCATCTGGCAACGCTGAGCGTGCTTCCGAAGTATTCCGAATATTTCCGAATATATCCGACCATAATTCCGAGAAACACAGACCGACCGAAACGTCCATATATTTTGTGATTTGATTACCACTATTTCTAGGCAGCATTTTTTATTTTCCTACTTTTTACGTGACACTCAAGGGCAGTGGCGCACCCATGGGAAGGCATCGGTCCAGCCCCCCCCCCCTAGGTCGCCCGTCCAAAACTGTATTTGTACGTACAAACAAATTTGACATCATGGCGTGGCACCCTGACACGTCAATTTTTTATTCAGATTTCTAGACACAAGCCACAACTTTTGTAGAGTCCGTCCATTCCCCAAACATATTTTCTGGGTGCGCCACTGCTCAGGGATAGGTTAGGCCTAGGGGCCCCCAAATATATTTTGCCCTGAGGGCCACTCGTCCCTAGATCCGCCACTGCCCGTGCCACTTTCCACCGAGGTGAAAACATCATATAACTTACTTAATCACCTAGAATTCTTTTTTTTTTAAAGCTCAAAATAACCGTTTTTGGGTGTGGCAACCGGAAAAATTTTCGCGCCTCCGGCAGCTCCTGCGTCGGGCATTCACCTTCTTAAATTAGTAATTTGAACCAATATAACAATCCACGCGCCGCCACTGCCCGTATGCACCTCCCTGAAACTAATCCTGGCGGCGCCCATGGCAGGTACATTTTCACCTTTCCCCTTTCCCTATCAAATAGCAATAGTTGTATTCCTTTCAAGGGTTTGAAACACTCGAGCTACTCGCTCCGGTGTTTAGCAGCCCCCGATTCGCAGGGAACAGATGCGTGGTGCAACAAACACTTTTCGAAAGGAATAAGCGCGTGAAGCCCCGGAGCTGTTCCGGAGCTCCTCCTAGGTGTGAAAGGAATAGAACTATTGAAAGGTGATAAACTTTACCGGTACCAGTGGACATCGGATTGTGAACGGATATTACTCTAAATTCTGATTTCTTCTGAATTTAACGGCGGGTGAAACTGCGGGGAACAGAACCACTAACTCCAGCGATGTGCGAATGCGAGAATGAAACGGGACACAAGTTGAAACTAGTCTATAAACTAGACACAGGATAAGATTTTTCTGAGAATTCTTGCAACTTAATCAATAAAAGTAACTTCAACTACCAAAAATAGCTTATTAAGTTACCAAAAGTAGTTTGAGTAGCTTGCTTTAGTAGCTAGCTACTCTACTTTTCACAGTAGCTTATGAATACATGAAACAAATTACTAAAAGCTACAGCTACAAGCTACTTTTTGAAAAAAGTAGCTTGAATAAGTTATTAGCTACCAAAAAAGTAGCTAAGTTAGTAGCTTAACTACTTGGTAGCTAGCTCCTGCCCAGCTCTGCGTGCCAGTGAGTTCACTGACGCATTTTAAGCACTACAGAGCTGCTCTAGAGCTGTTTATAGGCGTTCCAGTGTATCAGAGTTTTACGCAACTGAACTTTTTTTTTCGGGATAAAAAATAGCCTATATCACTCTCCTCTATAGCCGATTCGATTGACCGGATTAGATCGATCGATGTTCGATTCAAGCTGGATCAGTGCACCCTCATCAACAAAAAAATGATTTAGATCAGAAGAAGTTCACTTAAATTGAACCCAAATCGATCTAATCTGGGTCAATCGAAGCCGTTCTTGAATTCAAAAAATAATAAAGTTACGTCGGTTGAATGCAAGCCTAAATAAAAGAAATATTGTTTCATGCTGTCAAAAAAAGTTGGGTTATGTTGTTATGTAATGTGAATGAGTTGTAGATTGTAGATTTCGGAGGAGTCGTTTCGGCTTTTCAGCCGCTCAGCACTGCTACCTTTGCAGATATTTTGTGCGTAAATGTGAATGAGTTTGTTTACAATTAAATTAATAATTAATTCAAAATTAATTTCTTTTTCCGAGATGCGTAACCTATCCACAAAACCTTCCTTGGGATGGCCATAACAACCTACCAAAGTTTCATCGTAATCGGATAAGTGGTTTTGGAGCGCATATCCGGATACCCCGTGAACTTTGATTTTTATATATATATATAAGGGTGGGTTCCGTTGTCTAACCTGGTTAACCGGTCGGTACAATGTCGGTTGACAGCGGTTGACAACGATTGACAAGCGGTTGCTGAAAATTTCGGTTTAATACGGAACGCTTTTCCAATCACAGAATCGCCGCCGGTTGCCTTGGTGACATGTTTGACATAACCAACCGCGTTCCGTATAGACCGGTTTTTCAGGAACCAGACATTACGGAACGTGTAACCGTAACCAAGGTTGACAACGGAACCCACCCATAGATTTCAGTTTTCATTTTCCATTTGAAATCTCAGTGCAATTATTATTTAAAGATTTTTTATCTCCAAGAAACTTTATTGTCGTTAACACTTGAACACAGAAGTGATCCATTATGCTCCTGGGACCATAAAGATTTTTATGTATACGGTAATTTGTTCGTTTTTTTCTCGCTAGAGGCAGCAGTGTCGATCAGTGCCATATTAGAGCATTGAACTAAACAAACACTCTGGAATGGGCGTACTGCTTTATGCTAGTG